GTTGATATCGAGCGATCGAGAATTATTCTCGCCCGATTGCAACCTCGCGTACGCTCATCTACACGATCTCGAGTATGGAGATATTTCGACCATTTCGCGAGTATAGCGATATTTCGACCACGTCGCGAGTATAGCGAAATTTCGACCGCTTTATCGTCACCAGGCAGCGGGAGGCCCGTAGCAACACGAGTTATCACAACGCGACAATTGTACAAATCATCTGTTTCGTTGTCCGCCGCGAATGGTTTAAACTAAAAAAAATTGCGCGGGAACAAACCACGGTGTGTAGTTTTACATGTTGTTACTGGTTGAGCTGTTGGTGACTGACTGGCCTCGACGCTAGGGGTTGGGGGTTCAATTCCCACAAGGGAAAAGCATTTGTGCGAGACAGATAATTGTTTCGGATCTTGGTGTTTATTTACAAGGAGACTTGACATCATCGCAGGCGAGACCGGTCGTAAAAATAAGCCAACACCACTAACAACATGGTTGACAGTTCGTGCCGACCCCACCTTAGGTGGGATAAGGCTAGAGATAGAAAGATTGTTGTTAGTATAAATTTAAGTGTTTATCTCCATCCTATTTTTAAATATTGTAACTATAAATACATAATAATCTGTGACATGCATTTAAAGATATTATTGTAAGCCAGACCATACTTTATGATGTTTGATAAAGAAAGTATAGTTTGGTAAGAAAGTATATTTAAAACTTTTTTGTCTGTTCTATTATACCTACTGTAACGGGTTTTAAAATTATTTGTTGTTTACGATCCATTTCTTTATCGGTTTTCTTAAATTTTACTGCGTTTTATCGTATAATAACCATTTTATGTAACGAATTTAGTTTGAATTATTTGTTTAAAAGAAGAAAAGGTCAAAGGTAAGAAAATTTACCTCTGCCGATTTACAAAGTATTTTTAAAAAACTCACGTAAGCATTAAACGAAGAAAGTATTTGTTTTTAAACGGTTTTATTTAGCTCGACACGTACGGAATTTATTTGTTTATTTGGGTCAAAATTAGAAATTGAAATTTAAGCACCTTCCTGTTGTCAGATTGATCTGAAATTTGGTACACACATTTAATTTAGATGACAATACAATATTGTAGTTTTCAGTGCACAAAAAAAAAAACATAAAATAAAACCGTTTAACTTAAAAGTTTTTAAACGGTTTTATTTATCTCACTAGATACGTTTAATGAAATAATGAACTGCGTAATAGCTGCGTAATAATGAACCTCATTGTTTTCTACAATTATTAGTCGAAAACGAGCGCCGTTAATATCGAGCGATCGGGAATTATTCTCGCCCGATTGCAACCTCGCGTACGCTCAGCTACACGATCTCGAGTATGGAGATATTTCGACCATTTCCCAATTTTTCTTTTATTGTTTGAAAATTAATTAAATTCATTATGAACACGGAGATAAAAGAAAACGTATAGAAGCTGCCTTCATGGACACTCGCGCAAAATATTCCTTAAAATATTAACGGCGAATTTGGCTCCGGGACAACATTTTCCCGTTATTCTATCTCCGATCGATAAATTAGCAACGTTCTGAAAATGTTTTATTCAGCAACCTCTCTGATATCGTGTTTCTCAGATAATTCATCTCTGAGTTTAAAAAAATAATGAATGAATGAATTTATTTAGTTTCAAGTAGCAATATTTTGTTAACAATGAACAAAATACATAAGGAAGGATACTTGGCACGATTTGCCGATTTTCATACTTTGTATATAACAAAAATTTTAATAATAAATAACACACATTCATTGAAAGACAAAGACACAGTAGCAACTAATAAAATTGTTACCTCTCGTTTGCCGAGTGACGTTGTTTAAAGGAAGCGGAGGACGAAATTGCGTTTGTCGCGTCGAGTGATTTGTCGTTCGAGATTGAATTATTCGGTGATAAAGCGAATAATGTAAAGAATCGTCGCCAAACTGGCCACTGGCCAGTTCGCGTTTAGGAAGATTGGTTGTTGTAATTTCGTCTGCGAAAACCGCTGTTTACCCGGTATCGATGTCCGACGATTCGGAACTTTTTAAGCTCTGTTTCTTTATGAAGTCCCACAGCTGGGCAAAGGCCTTCTCTGTACAGAGGGTATCAGGGCATAACCCACCATGCGGCCTCACTGCGGATTGGCGGACTTCACACATCTTCGAAATATTTCTTTTTGTTATTATCCGTTATTATCCGTTCTTTTTGTTATTCGAGAATATGCAGGTTTCCTCACGATGTTTTCTTTCACCGCTGAGTACGTGATAAGTCAGCACTTAAAATTAACAATTTCTTTGGTGCCGGCACCGGGGATCGAACTCAGCTTGTTCGAGTATATTGAAGTAAAGGCGAGCGCTCGGACACTGAGCTATAATAAGTAGTGATAATAACAAAAATATCACGTCACAATCATCAGAGAAATAGAGTCGCAGATGCAATATCAACCTTTTAGTGTCAGCCCTCACAGAACACTTTACTCTGGTCTCCTACCATGGTACTCCCTCTATTTCTACTGGGGCTTTCTTGGGTATCTACCGATAAATCTATGTTCTTTCGGATTTGGTAGTCACTGGCCCTATCTAATACCGTACTGAAAACCGGTGTCGGAATCAGAACAAATTTTAGTTACTGTATCTCGACTTTTAGAGTCCCGTCCGTTTCACGGTCTTATGCTGCTACACAGACCGTTTATTTTAAGTTTCTGTGTATTATACATTATTATTTTTAAGTTTTGTATGTATTCATTTGTTTTAGACCGTGAATAAACGTTTCTTCTTCTTCTTCTTCTTCTTCTTCTTCTAATGTAACGTTTGTGGATTGGATTTTTTAAGAATGAGCTCGGAACTAGGATGATTTCGAATTTTAGAACCGTTTTCTGCTCTGTTAACGCCGGTAGAGGGATGTCGAAAAAATACGTCACAGCCCAAAGTTTATCACACCATCTCGACTACGTCTTGTACGCCATCTTCGCATTCGGCCAATTTTCTGTTGGCTACCACCGCTGTAACATCATTATATAGCATCAAACAAAGTCGTCCCGCAGTTTATCTGTCCCTATGTATGCTTAGATCTTTAAAACTCCGTAACAGATCTTGGTTTTTTTACTAGATAAAGTGATTCAAGAGTAAAGTTTATATGTACAGTACATTGCACCTGTGCGAAGCCGGGGCGGGTCGTTAGTCTAACTTTAAATTGTATATTATACGCTATATTTAATTTCGCTATTTACTTTCAAGTCCTTATACTTTAACCGAGGGAAACCATCACGTAAGGGTCCTCACACTGCTCTCTTTAAAGTGTTTGCTCATTGTTGGAAATCTGCAACTTAGCACTGTTTGCGAATGGGTTGAATTTATTTTGCATAACTTGTTTGTTGTTTATCGAGGGTCGCTTGGATAACGTGTGCAAAAAGGTTTAAACTTTGTTTTGCTTTTGAATTAAAATTTAGATTTTTAATATTTTGATGATCATTAAGTTTAATGGAATCTACGTGTAGTATTCAAATTCTTCGTTAATATTTCAAACACTCATAAGCTGATGAATTATAAGTTGATATATTAAATATAACGATAACTTGGTGAAATTAGGATTAAAAAGGTGTACTTATCTTATTTTTCAATATCCAATCGTGTAATTTTAACAAAAAAATCTGTACAATGTGTTTTTGTCTCTCCTATTACTATCATCTAAATGGTCTTCGGTCGTAAGTCTGTGACTCGATAATGGTGCATAACAACATACACACCGTTTTATCGCTTCTATAAATACAAATTTTAACGAGTTTCACAATATTCCGTGCAAGTGTTGTCATTACAAGTATGTACACAGTCAATTGTTATTATTACGAAATCTAATATTTAGTTCATCATAATATACCAGTGAAGTAAAATAAAGTAACAGTCTACACATGTACCACTGCTGGGCAAAGGCCTCCTCTGTACAGAGGATATCAGGGCATAGTCCACTAGGCGGCCCTACTGTGCTTTGGCGGACTTCACATATCTTCGAAATATTTTTTGTTATTATTTCGATGTTTTCCTTCACCGCTGAGCACGTGATATCACCAGTACCAAATACCAATCCAAGAAGTGGAAAAAATATGGTGATCGACTCCGAAGAAAGTCAGGTGGCAAGATGATGGCAGAGCAGACTTTTGGGATATCAAGGTTGTCATCATTGTGAGGGAATTCAACGGTATTTTTATTTAGCATTTATCAATTCTGCCATAAAGAAAACAACTAAACCACTTTAGCCGTGCAATATTTTCGAGTTAATGAATATATTCCGTGCATATCTGATAACGCTATCGTCTTATCACCCGAGTGATGAGATTAATATTGATGTATGTTAATTGAACGTTTCTGTGCACGTACTCTGATTTTGTTCGTTAAAACTCTCATTGAAAGGTGATAAGTTTTGATCACGTTATCTGTCGTATGTTAATTTATTTATATCTATCAGACGGCTACTTACATTCGATAGTGCATTTTATCAGCCAATTCAAGAGGTAGGTTGGTGTGCAAGCGTGAATGTACTTGGGTTATGCCGCGTGGATGTCGCCACGAGTAAAAACGCGTAGTTTAGAACCGGTAGAACGTTGTGTTTTTTTGCATATTTTTTTTTGAAAAACATTGCCCTTACTGTAGGATAACGGTATCCTGTGTTTGTAAGGACGTTTTACATACATAAATTTCACGTGGACAAACACCCAGATGCGAAACAATTATCGGTGGGAATTGAATTACAATTAGTTGTCCCGTGTGGGAATCGAACGCAGGACTATCGGCGCCGAAGCCAATGTCTTGCAAATGGCGAAGCCTTCGAACACGCTAAACTTTTTATTTATTTATTCAAACTTTATTGTACACCAAAAAATATAAAAAGCAAGTTACGAATGAATGTAAAAGGAAGAACAATAGGCGGTCTTATCGCTCAGAAAGCAATTTTCTCCAGACAACCTTTTTACTTTACACTGTGCCGTTACCTTGTTCCAGTCGGCACGACCACCACGCACCTGACCGTGGTGAGGGTGAACAGTGACCCCGCGCCGGTTAAAGACCACCAGGTGCCCGTGTTCCTCTACAGCAGACAGTCCTTCGTGGCGGACCAGTGGGATCTCACCACCAACCAGGTAAGTGCACATCTTTACTGCAAGATCCCAGTCCCAATTTTCAAAAGCGTGTCAACGCATCTGGAACCCTCGGCTGTAGCAGATGTCCATGGCCGGCAGTATTCACTTAACATCAGGTGAACCGTCTGCTCGCTTGGCAACTATTCACATAAAAAAGAAAAGAGCTGGGATCTCTTTTTTTTATGTGAAAAGTTTCGCCCAATTTTCATAGGACGGAAATCTTTTATCGGCCCTTCCTTCGACTTTTCTCTTACATTTTCCAACCGACTTCCCAATATTAAACGAAAGTGGACCACTCAAAAGTTTTGCCTGAAAACTGGCCAGGCAGAAGCTGCAGCGTTGCAGTTATAGGCAGGCTCGTTCATGAAAGAACCACGGCCTCGCAGAAGACGGACTGCAGTGGAAGTATAGTGCGTTCGTCAGGTGAGTAAGGTAATCGGGGCCCACATTTTAAATTGTTGGCAACGCGTCTGCAAGACAGATATTGTGGATGATGAACAGCATTGAAAATTGCTACATTTTAATTGTATATTTTAATCAAGTAAGTATATGCAATGAGCAATAAATAAATTAAATATAAATCAGAAAATTTAGTCTGTTGACATTATTAACTTGCAAATCTAACAAACAGTCTTAGTTTTGGCGAAATATCTAAACTTCGACCGTGCCGAAACATGCTGTTCATGAAAGACATTTGTTTTGGTCTACCACCATTCACACTACATAGAAAATCTGTAAGTGATACATCGGAAAGTCGTACTGAAATTAATTGTTTCTAGAGTTTTTAATAAGTCAGTCTTATTGTTTGGGAGATATTTTTTGGGTGGGACCAGTTGTGTTTAACATGAGTTATTCGAATCAGAGGCATAATAGACCAGCACTGGCTTTCGTAAAAGACGGCTTAAAGGGTAAAGTGGTTCTACGGATGCCCGGGTTCGGTGCCCTGACCGTCTACTTCAGGTATGGAAGGTGAAACATAATAGTGTTCCACTGGAATATCCATAGCCCCTCCTACACCCGAAACTACATACATACACAAACAAATCATGTGCAAATAAATATGTAAATTTCCAACGATTTTTGGTACCAATATAATATTTATTCGTCTCCAAACGCAACCGTACTGAAAAATCCTTCGGTGTTATTGAACTCTCTCATCGATACGGCGTCATTGTACGGCGGAGTGTCTTTGGCGAATTTTCACGAACACAGGTTTCACAAATAGAAACAATGGCCGGCGCTAAACACTTGCGACAACAGAGACGACGCACTGTGAACACGTGTTTCGTTATGTTACTTGGACGAAATTTAGACCGAAATAATAATGTATACTCAATTGGAAGATCTGTAGGCCAATCCGCGAAAGGGTCGCGGAACATGGCTTAATATGCCGTATAATAGGCTGCCACGATGAATTAGTAATATTCGAGATTTCATACTGGTTGCTTTTTTTGTTGGAATAAAATCCCACTCTGCCATAAGAATGTTAGTAAAATGTCTCGTATTCCCTTCTTTTTTTAATTCTCTCTCGTTAGAAAATTAACACATGTCATCAGTTTTAAATTAATCAACAACGAATTTGGGTAGACAATTAAAAAATATATAATTTTTTCTCGATTACCTGAAACTCCTACAGCGTTTTAAATTGTAAAATATATATTCACTGTAAAATAACGTACGTTGTGTTATTTTTTTTATACAAATGGGGAATTTATGAGATTTATAAGCTTTTCGACCTACTCCGAGACATTTAACACTTGCCTAGCGTTGAGTTGTTCTTGTGTAAAGTCTTCGACTTACGACTGCGCTTGTCACATAAATAAAACAGCGACACGCCCCGACCTCGTCTCGGTGCAATTCAGTTCTTATAATGAAGCCGTGGCTCAGTGTTCGTGCGCTCGCCTTTAATTCTATTTACTCGCGCAACCTGAATTCGATCCCCGGTGTCAGCACCAATGAAATTGTTAATTGTAAGTGCTTACAAATCATGTGAGGAAACCAGCATATTTTCGAAATAGTAACAAAAAAGAAATATTTCAAAAATATGTGAAGTCCACGGGGCCACGTGGTGGACTATGCCCTGACACCCTCTGGCCTTTGCCCAGCAATGGGACATTTATAGGCTGTTACTTTACTTTACTTTATAATAAAATTTTAAAGACGTTAGCCATAAAAACACACCTATGGGAAAGTACTCTAAACAGTGGAGATAGGCAACTTTACTCAAAGGTAACGTTAATTTTTAGAACCGGCTCATTTGCTATCTTCTCACATAAAAAAACTATCACAAAAATTACTAGAGATGCGCCGAAGGTTCGGCCGTATACTTCTATTCAGTTGACCCTATATTCGGCGCGGCTCTAAAAATGAGCAGCAATTTTTCACGTAATTGAGATTTAATTATTTTAACCTGACAAGTAGAGAAACGTAGCCTCTCACCCTCTCTCCTGATGTCTTGCATTGATCCTTTTCTTGTGTCCATGTTATTAACGCGAATTTCCACATTGTGACTAACACACGTTAAATGGATGCGTTGTGATACGCATCGTTGTCGTTTCCGCAAACTTTTAGCGCGCCGTACCGAGTGCATTGTGTAATTATCCAGGCCTGAACACGTGGGATGCTGCGTCCGCCTCTCAAAGTTTATATTTACGATGTCAGGCGTCTAGTTTGCGTCTAGACTGTGAATTCCGACATTTTCAACCGACTACAAAAAAGGTGGAGGTTTCCAATTCGACTATGTTTGTTACCTCAGAGTGTACCAATTTCGATGATTCTTTTTTTAATAATAATAATTAAATAAATAATATCCGTATATATTTTTCATTTGAAAGCTGGTGCTTCCCATGTTGACCCATATTAATTTCATTGTTATTGGATCTTGGGCTACGGAGATATATAAAACAGAGCTAGATATTTGTTGTCGGTTTTGTTTTTCGTTAATAAGAGGATTATAGATATTAATGGAGGCAGTGGTGGACTATAGGCAGAATATGAAGAATCATGACCCAAAATTTGGCCTTCAATTCAAAGTGGATCGAGTTTGTCGTTTTCGAAGTTCTTATGTGAAAAAATCATGGACCAGACCAGATCTCCTGATCTCCATGAACCTCTCTACGTTATCTGTAATTATCTCTTTCGGTGTATAACGCTTTGCGAATTATCAGCCTATATAAGTCCCACTGGTGGGCAAAGGAGTCCTTTGTACAGAGTTTATTTGGGCATAGTCCTCCACGAGGCCCCACTGAGGATTGGTAGACTTCACAATTGATACCAAGGTATAGATTTTTTTTATTATTTCGAAAATATACAGGTTTCCTCATGATGTTTTCCTACACCGCTGAGCTAGTGATATTTCAATAACGATCAATTTTAAACGATCAATTTGATTGATTCGGGATCTCAACTCAGGTTGCTTGAGTATATTGAATAATAAGTGAGCTCCTGGACACAGCGCTATCATCATGGCTTATGCGTCATCTGACGCAGAACCGGTGGGCTAGCCAGACCTAACGGTTTGGGCCCTCCGCTGTGGGAAGGGCCGCGCATGTGCTCATGCGGCAAGTAATTACATGCTAAATAAACGGATCCGAAACAGAGACCTCGGTATACCTATATCTTAGCCACTAGGCCATAATGCCGACGCATTTAATCTCGTCTCACAACCGTTAGGTTTTTCGAGATACGCATTCCCGTTTAGCGCAATCCAGAACACGTTCCGCTCGCCTTATTCGTAATAAGTATTTAAATTAGTGTGCGGACTGGATGTCATAAAAAGTGAAATATTTAACTTCGCGCTCGTTTACTTCTTGAGTTGCTCAACGAAAATGTTGAGGCAATGTTGAAAAGTGGAGGGCACTTTTAAAAACCCACTTTAGTCTGTAATATTGTCGTTTAAGAATTCAGTTGTTCAAAGTTAGAAGTCAAAGTCAAAGTCATGTTTTTTTCATTCGATACACGCTTGTTTTAAGCTGTTATTTAACGTCAATAACCTCCTCATTTTGAAGTCGGTTAAAAAACCACCAACTACCAATAGTTCCGTCAAAAAACTATACAGTCTTGTTTATTCTCTTTTTAAAAAAATTATGTGTACAAATTTGTATAGTGTAAAATAAGCATCAGTCGGGGGACTTAAAAGTGCAGAGCAAGAATCATTTACTTACGAACATATTAATTAATTTCCTTGTAAAATTTCGACGTTTCATAAGAACGCGCAAGCGTCTATGTGAATAAAGATATTTTATTATTATTATCACGTAACGAGTTTTGGGATGTCTAATCAGGTCCTGATTTGAGTACTCTAGTGATCCAATGCTGATTTTCAAATGGCGCCTGATGTTAGCTTCATATTTTCTTTTCTTTCTATAACGTCTTCATTGCATCTAATTCAAATTCTTCGTTTCGAATTCTATTCAACCATTATGGTCACGGGTGGTGATTAAAAGTTAATTAAACGCGATAAACTCCGTAACCACAATTAAATTGCTAATTTGTTATATTACCATAAAAAAGGCATTAACAATTTTTATAAACAATGTTGTAACGGTGGTAAGTCTCGCCAGAAATGTATATTAGCTCCACAAAATTGACTCCGTCTTTTGTAGAGCTAAATAAAACTTAAATACTACAAAGATCATTCCAATAGGCATTAATTCCGGACTTTACCACTTTTATTTTAAGGTGTTTCAATAATGAATAAATAAATAATAAAACATAAAAGTAAATTATTCCAGAAGTTGAGGTGATATAGGAATTCTTAACTTTACCCGACGATGATTACTATTGGGGGAATCGCTTAGAAAGATCCTACCTCGATCCATATCTGTGGCAATTATAGTGCGTTATTCCTTCGGGATATCCCGTGGAATTCAAAATTTCACCTCGGTAATAATAACATTGGTGATAGCCGAAGAGCCCTCATAGCTGATTGTCCGGGCGCTCGCCTTTTATTCAATATACTCGAGCAACCTAGTTTACTCCCCGGTGCCTGCACCGATGAAGATTTCATTTTAAGTGCTGACTTATAGGCTTACCGGAGAAGTAAAAAAAGTCCACCAACTCGCAGCGAAGTCGCGTGGTGCTCTAACCCTCTGCACGGAGGAGGTCTTTGTGCAGCAGCGGAACATTTATATACTTTACTTTTTACTTTACTAGGCACAAAAACGTCGCAGGGTTGGACAGTGTTTGCCTATTGCCCATAAATACAAAACTGTGCAGGGCACGGTCAGGAACTCTTTTTTTTTTTATGTGAAAAGTTGCCAAACGAGCAGACGGTTCACCTGATGTTAAGTGAAATCCGCCGCCCATGGACATCTGCTACACTCCAGGGTTCCAGATGTGTTGACAACCTTTTGGGAATTCACGGTTAGAATTTCCCACGAGCCCGGTAGGACAATGATTTTCAAATAATAAAAGAAATGTGTCATCAGCAACAGCTGAGGCTCATACCGATGTGAAATATACTCGGATTTATAATGTATTCGATGGAAATAAACTCGAAAAGTGCCGTTCGGACGGCCCGCTGGGTTGGGAAGTGGCTCAAGATTCAAAACCAGTCCCGCCTGCGGTGTCGCGGTTCTCTGCCAAAACGGAATGAGTTCCGTGAAACGCTAATTTGTTTTTTAACTCCTTGCATCCTTTGTTACCGAGACTTACGAAGTGGAATGAGGCGTCTAAAATATCCCCTTAAATAATTTAGTTTTCGCTTTTGTCATCGACGCCAACTTTAGAAAACATTAATTTTATATTAATTTAAATAAACATAATGCAAGCCTACATCATCGATATAAAATAATGGTCATATTCTAGTTATGACTTACAAATTATCCCTGAAAATTTACCGACAGTGTAATATTAGTTTGAGCAATGGTCAGAAGAGACATGGCTAAGTGTCTAGGATATCGAACTTGTGTTTGTATTTTGTATGGAAGGGGTTGGATAGTAAGTCCTAACGACCACTACGACCTAGAAGATCTGTTGTAGTCTTCGCTTCGCATTGCTAAATCATTGCTCCTTACTGTAAGATCACATTATTTCGTGTTGTAAAGACGTTTCACATACCTAAATTCCACGTGGACTCACACACCCACATCCGAAACAATTTTACCTTCTAAATAGTTGTGTCGCTTGGGTATCGAAATTACGGTATAAGGTAGTGCTTTGGAGTTAATGACATGTATATCTTTACCATAATCAGTTTCACATTTTGTGTCTGGTGTTCAGCGAAAAACTCATCAATTGAGACGTTAGAACTGTAATAAGCTCTTTGAAAAGATGTGAAGCTTTTGAATACAGAACGTATTCCGAAATAATTTGACATATCACATCCGCATATCCTTCATCGATTCCATTTCATCCTCCATTTACGCGAGGTCCACCCGCGTTATATCAACAGGTTGACGTCCAGGGAACCCTTTTGATAATATTGTGTTGATGGGGTTGCTTGGGTGCAAATGAATTCTTCTATGCTCTCTGAACGAAAGAGTACCCAAAAGTGCTACCGTTACCTAATCATAGTTAGACACAATAGTGTGTGTAGTGGATAAAATCTAGATTTTTAATCTTAAATACAAATATCTCTCAAATACATAACTTGTCGTAATAATAATATCTAAGTTAATATTATTTTTCTGAACATTCATTACATACATAGAAGTATTTCGAAGAAGTATTTCGCCCAATAAATAGGTATTAATATCATCGTCTGGTATGTTCGATATCACCAATTTTTTAATTAGTTAGAGGACAATTGTCGACCTTATCGATCTGATATTGTCTCGTTTAACGCGCTTTAAATGGCATACTTAAAATGGTTTTTATTTAATAAAAAGGTAAAACAAAGAATCGAAAAGAACAACGACATGGCGGGAGCACAAAAAAATCAAAAGGAAACAGTTCAAACCCGATATTGTTTATTCTTATTGACTACGCTTTGATTTGGTGCGTGGTACAACTGAAAAGCTTAGCGATTCTTTTGATTATACCTATGTAGTACAGAAAAACTTATTTGATTATTTAAAACAGTTATTTAGCATAACATAATCTTTTACTTGAGAAACGTATCTTCAAACAGTATTATTATGATCATCGATTACGAAAATAATATATAGAAATATGGTATAGACAAGACAGTGTTGAAAGAAATCGCGATTAAATAATTATTATTGGTGTTGTGAATTAGTAAATGAAGGTCACATCTTATACAAATGAGATCTCGTGTGTCGATCATTGTGGAATTTTACTGGGTAAAACGAAATCGGCGATGAGCTCATTGTATCTATCAGATGGTTTGAAAATTTAAAAATATTTTTTTTTATTTCAAAATATGTGAAAGTTTCATGACTTTTCGATTGAATTGAAGTGAGGTAACAGGGGCCGCTAGTGATCTTCTTACATTAAAAACAAATTGTGCTTTTTAATTTTTTATTCGTGAAAGTAATGTAGCCTTAAATGAATATTATTTCATACATTAAAACAATAAATAGTACAGTCTTTTAGATATTGTGTACACAGATGTGGTAATTGAGCGAAATGAGTGACCTTTAATTGGTAAGGAGCATTCTCGGCGGTCGCTTGATGAGTTTTTGTTTTTCGAATAGTTGACAACTTCAGCTAGGTACCCAAATATCCACCTCTGCGTGATAAAAGAACAGAGAGCTATTTAATTTAAATGTCCGGCGATAAAAATCGTATGGATCGTATTGTATATTAAATAAAGTCATTTATAAACTGTGGGGGCAGTGTAATATATCGGTTTTATTTATTGCTTGCCTTACTTTTACGGGCCGTATGAATAACGCACAGCTTTAATACTGTCAGCCATTTGAAATGTTTCGCGTCGACGGTGTTTGTGAATTATTTTACCATTATCTCACTCACAGCATCGCCATTAGAATTTTTGCACTCAATAACAGAAACTTGTTTCTGTTGATGTTTGTTTACGTAAAAACGGTTTTTTATTTCACGTTACCCGATTCGAATAACGTAAGCTGGTCTTTTAAAGTAACGTATTGTATAAGTTAATTCGATATTGATCATGTTTTATTACGAAATGTTTACGACTCCGTATCGAGTTGTTGTTCGGCGTGTTAACAGTGCGGACGAATATAAATTCTGTTTGTAGCGAAGGTCGTCACGTCTTGGTTTGCCCGGCTTCGCTTGTAAATTTAAATAGCTGCTGTTTACGATTCTAATAACCGGTCGCCGTAACATAGCAAACACTTAATGTACTGTCCGATATGCATTATTGTGATAACGGCCGTTACAGGCACTGTAAAGACATTATGACTGTATATTATGTCGTAGTCTTCTGTTATCACTACATAGTATAAAACAAAGTCGTCCCGTCGTCTGTCTGTCCCCATATATGATTAGATCTTTAAAACTACGCAACGGATTATGATGCGGTTTTCATTAATAGATTGAGTGATTCGATAGGGGACGGTTTGTATGTTTAATTCATGCATAAGAGAGACACAGATAATTTTAGAGGCTTCTAATGCGATGTTGAAAACAAACATTCAGCATTCCGATTCGCTAGTGTTAACATGTTTGAATGTTCTTCTT